CTTCCCTGCTTCCCAGACCCCCTGCAAAATGACTGCTGCGATGAGATGAAGGCTTTCTAGTGCCCTGGAACTGCACTGTGTAAATGTCTGGAAGGCGCCTTCAATTAAACTTGTTATTTTTTAAAAATCTGTTTCCCAGGAATAATCTTGTCATTCACACAAGGGTCTTCTTTGTTTTGTTTTGTTCTTTCACTGACAAATACCAGTTTTAAAGTGCATGAGCCGGTCTGTTTTGGTACTTTGTGGATATACAATAAGTCTGGATTTGTTTATTCCTATCTACTATTATTAGTTAGACATGGAATAAAATATAACCTTTTTTTAAAGGACCAAGTAATTAGAAAAAAAATTAATTTTCCCTCATACACTTCTATAATGGTAAGCCCCATAACTAAGGCAGGAGAACAGGGCTGTTACCACCTCAGAGCTGTGCCAAGGGGGCTTAGAGAGCCTGAAGGTGAAGCAAATGCATATAGATCTACCATACCAGTTTTTTATCATATCTTCCACCACTGCTACCATAAACGGTGTCTGTGATGATTCTTTTATGGCCTTCACAATGTTGTTGAGAGCTAGGCCTAATGTGAAAACAGCAATCGTTTGTGCAAGGTAAGATTGCTAGAAGCATCACTAACTAAACTCTGAATCCTATTTGATGGACACCCAGGAGACACTTCAGAACCGCTTATGTTGCCACGAGGACATTGAAATGCCTATTTTCAGTAACATTCATAACTAGCCTTCCGCTCTGTCCATAGGCTTACCATTCAACTTTAATGGACTCTGATACCAAGTTAATTGGGAACATGGCACTGTTACCCATCAGAAGCCAGTTCAAAGGCCCAGCACCTCGGGAAAGTAAGTTTACAGTAATCTCTGAACATTTGTTTTCATATTGCTTGTAATCATGTCACAGTTTGTTCATAGCCAGCTCTAGCATTGCTCTGGTATAGTGGGTGTCTCAAGTACATGCTTTTTATCAATGTCCCCGGGCAGATGGGATTGAGAAAATTATGGCCAAGACTTAACCAGGCGTTTTAGATCTTGATTCTCAGAGTGAAGAGAGAAGCCATGGTTTAGAAATGGAGTGCTTTTCAGTTGGTAGAGGAGGAAAAACGCTCTTAAATGGTTAAGTGCTGCAAACCAGGAAAAATAATTAGCATACAGCAGTTATCTGGGAAAACTGTGCCCCCTACTCCCAAATTCTCTTACTTTAGCAATTAAAAAAAAAAAAAAAGTACAGTTACTATTTTCATGCTTCCTTCTCGGGTGCTCTACAATCAAGTTTTACTGTGGTTTTCAGTAGGCTTTGAGGAGGACTTGTAACTGATGTGAACCTTCTGACATAAGAGGAAGTAGAGGTTGAGCTAAAGAGAACTAGCACTTTGGGGACTGAGGCTTGAGAGTCACTGCTGCGCTGAAGGATGAGGAGTAAGATAGAGAGTGCTTTAGGGTACGCAACTTCATAAGTTGAAACTTAAGTTCCGAGCATCCGGAGTCCACTGAAGAGTTTTACAGGTAGTCTGAAATGGATTCCGCTTCAGCACTTCAAGTAGCCCTTCCCAGGCACATCTCACAGTAGGGTGGTGTTTCAGTTTGAAAAGGGAAACATTTCTGGATGTAGGCAGTCTTATGTTTTAGCAAAAGAAGGTGAAAAGTGCATATGAGCTTGTGTGACTATATATTGTCCCCTGCTTTTTTCAAAGAGGATAATGAAGAAGTTTGGTTGTGGGGGTGTACTTTCTCCAAAAATATTTGTCTGCCCTCAGAAGACTTTTATGCTGTTAAATTACTCGACTGGTAGTAGGAAACAGTGTGGAATTGCTGAATTGTTGCCCTTTGTAAAGTGAGAAGCCATGGGGGGAAGGAGGAGAAGGGAATTAAAACTCCTGCTAAAAGTAGGAAGCGTAAATATTAAGGTCTGAATTCGCCGGTCTTCCACACTGCAATGGTTAGAGCATACTGGTGTTTTCTGCTTTTTGTTAATAGCAAGATATTGTCTTTGCAAGAATCCTTGTTTATGTACTTTAGTGAATGAAAGCTATGACTGAATGTAGTATGCTGGTCCACTGCTTAACTCTCCATTTCTTGTTTCTGTTAGCTAAGGACACAGATATTATAGATGAAGCCATCTACTACTTCAAAGCCAATGTTTTCTTCAAAAATTATGAAATTAAGGTAATTTTTTGAGATACTGTACATTCAGAAACTCTTTGGAGATTTGGTCCTGTGCATATAAATTTATTCGCAATACAATAGTTCTACCAGTTAACAAAAACACCTCTTCCTCTCACTTAATTTTTCAAGTTGGGTAAATGTCTTGAATTGCTAATTCCCCTCTTGTGAGGAAACTGTAGGCCAAAAATGGCTTGAACTCATTCCTATTGTAAACTTTTATCAGCTCCATAAAGTCTGCCTTACTCTAACAGTGCTTGAGGACCGTGCTTACTTTTGCTTTGCAGAATGAGGCTGACAGAACATTGATCTACATAACTCTGTACATTTCTGAGTGCTTGAAAAAGCTGCAGAAGGTAAGAGAACAGCTCTTTGAGTGAAGGAGGGAAACTGAATCTGTTCTGGAGATTGCACTTAGGAGAACGTTTGCTGATGTTCTCCCCCTAGTGGCATAAATAATACTGTTCACCTCAGTCCCAGTTGTCAGATCCACCGATATTCCAAGGCTGAGGACTGCCAAAAAAGATGGGACATTGCGATCCTTGATTAATCCTTATATGTTACAGATTGATTCAAATATTTGGGTCTAATGCTCCAAAAGCTTTTGTTTATATCTTTTAATCATTTGCCTGGTTCTTCCAGTGTAACTCCAAAGGCCAAGGAGAGAAAGAAATGTACACGTTAGGAATCACTAACTTCCCAATCCCTGGGGAGCCTGGCTTTCCACTTAATGCCATCTATGCCAAACCTGCCAACAAGCAGGAGGAAGGTAAGAATAAAAAAAGACCTCTGAAGGCTTGCTTTGGCCTGGTGTTTACCAGCTGCATCTTTGTGGCTATGACTAGAAACTGCATCTTCTAGACATACTGCAGACAAACTGCATCTTCCATACAACTGCATCTTCTAGATCCGTAGTTCTGTCTTTGAGTGCACCATAACCCAGATTTTCTGACCTCAGGGGCCCAGTGACTCCCCTGGATCTATAGATCCAACAGAACCAAGTAATGGGGAGTGAGTCTGCCTCTTACATCAACGTAATTGCTAGCTAAATCCTGTAACTGAGCCCAAGCCAACTGCTGTGCTGGCAGAACAATAGGAAGCCCACAACAATAAGCAAAGGTATCTGAAAAAGGAAATTCATCCTTAGTAAAGATGACCATCTTTACTGATACAGATATCATAACAATCCCAAGTATGGCTGTAAATTGAATAAACAGACTCAAGGCAGCCTGTGAGTGTCTGCAGATGGGCAAAGTTGCACTTTCTGCTTTAAGCAGTAGTATCTAATGCTTCCCCGTTAAATTCAATTTGACTTGCTGCTGCCTCGGTTTACACCCTATTTTTTGCTTGTGCTGTGTTTCAGAGGTGATGAGGGCCTACTTGCAGCAGCTGAGACAAGAAACAGGCCTTCGGCTCTGCGAAAAAGTATTTGATCCTCAAAGTGACAAGCCTAGTAAGGTAAGAGTTCAGCGTGATAGTCACAGAATTAATGAGAGACTTGGTTTGTCCTTCCAGAAACGTGTGGGGAGAAGTAGGACGGTGGGGTGATGGGGTGACATGCGAGTAACTTTGCAGCAAGCTTCTCTGGTTTTACAAGGCTAGTGAAATAGCAGACTGCAATTTAGTAGTAAATTTAATTTGTAACGTGCAAAAACAGCAAATGCCATTTTAGGTTATTTCAAAAAGCAGGGAGGTAGTAAGTGTGTCTGGTTAAATTGTTTAAAATATTGCCTGCCAGTTATTGGCTGAGGATTCTTTAAGTTTTTAGACAGAAATTCTCAGGCATGAAAGATACTGCTCATCTTTCCAGTGGGTTCTGATTTGATGACTTCTTTGAAGTATACCTGTCTGCTTCATATCCAGATTAAAAAAAGAGACAATCAATGCATAAATTACCTGCTGTCTGTGCATATGTTTCATGTGTAAATGTGACTGCATTTAACGTTAAAATTAGTCAGGCTAACTTCATTTCAAAAGGATAGCTTGCTGATGCACCCCTTCTGTTCATTCTTACATTGGAACAAATAGTAGAAAGTTGAATGTCCCACTTTGATGTCTGCAGCCCTGTATTATAAATCCTAATTATCACCTGAAATTGCAGTAGAAACCAGCACGGAAAACTGAATGTGCAAAACTGGATCCTTAACATTTGCCATTTGTCAGAAGTTGAACACTTGGAAGCTCTCATTTTGTTTATCTCAAGGAAGCTACCGTTGCATGTCTTTTGATTTTGTACTTCCTTTTCTAGTGGTGGATCTGCTTTGTGAAGAGACAGTTCATGAACAAGAGTCTGTCAGGTCCAGGGCAGTGAAGAAGCAAAGCAGCAACAAAGTTAAGCATTTCCACAAGGTGTATAAAGTATTTTGCCTTTATTTCGGATACATTTTGTACCATGGAAGAATTAAGTGCTTAATGAAGGAGGAAAAAAAAATCCATGCGCAAAAGAGAGAGAGAGAGAGAGAGAGAGAAAACATCATTTGAGTACTGTAAACAAGTATTATTAAGCTGGTGCTTAATAAATGATTTCTAACATGCTGTTTGAGATGCAGGCTGCTTTATTATCAGTGGCTACAGCTAGCATTTAAAAACAGGCCTTCTGTCTAAAGAGAGGAGATGTGTAGGGGGCTATATAATTGCTCTACTGGCTAGAGTTTTGCTATCACCTGTCCCTGGAAAACATTCCTCTTGTGCTATGTTGTCAAGTGCAGTGTTTTTTACCTTTTTTTTTTCTCAATAAACCTAGCTTGTAATTATTGTGGTAACTGCTTTATGTCTTCAAAGAAATCAAAGTTTTGTCTTTGTGAAAAGGCCTTCATTACTGCATAATGGGAAAGTAAACAACAGGAAGTGAATCATTCCTGTTGAAACCAGGATTCATACCAGGGCTGTAGTCTGCAGCACATGGTTCTTTAACAGGTCTTCCTTTGCAGAACACCACTCTATTGTAGAAAAACTCCTTCAAAGGGTATGGTAAACAGATTACATACAACTTAGTCCAAGGCTGCCTTTGTGATGGCAGGTTCAGTCAAATACGACCATAGCACGATCCTGGCAAAAACTCTGAGTTTGTTTGTTTTGATCACTCAGTTGACTGAAAAATCTGAGTGAATCTGAGTTCAGTGTATTCTCCTGAGTTGTTACTTTCCTTCACGGTAACACTTGTTTCACTTTCTCCACAGAGTACTAACACACTTGTTTTGTGTTACTCCAGATGAAGTCCAGGAGTAGTAATGTTTTGCTGCCTGGCCCATTTGTCTTTTGAGAGCTATGCTCTTTCCCCAGACAGCTGTAACAGCATGTTCTTAGAAAACCAAAAGCTCCCACGGGTTTAAATGGGAGTAGCAGTCACAGCACAGTCAAGTTTTGCACTCTCCTTCTTATAATAAAGGGAAAAAATAAACAACAAACACTTCACAGCGTACAACTCCCCTACCCCCCCCCATGACTGAACTGATGCTTTGTGACAGTTTAACCCTATTACTGCCACGTGGAGTCATCTTTCCTTTCAGTTTACACCTCACAATTAATGGTGGCCCCAGTGAGGCCTTTCCCCCGGTCAAAGCCCAGGGAAACGTGGGAGGGTTCCCTCAGTGAGCTTCTCGCCCTGTGAGGTTACGGTCCACGCTAGTGGGCTTTTAAGGATCTTTCTCCTCGGTTACCTATTTCTATAGGCAGGAGCTTCATGATCTCCGAGACCTCGGTCACGTTTAGCAGCCGTGGCCAGTTGATTTAACAGCCTCGGTGCAGACAGGGCGGTGCCAC